TGCTGATGGGAGAAGCTATCCCGTTGGCATATGTATCATTTCACTACATACTATAGCAACACAGATCAACCAATGCAGTTGTGTTGCTGCAGCACTGTCAGTGTAGACAAGGCCTTAGTAACAATTTAGAGTAATTACAGAGAGGAATGAAATTACTGTACTGAGACCAGGCTGGGTAGAAAGGCAAACATTAGATGTACTAGGACTTCAGTTCTTTCACACAATGAGAGACCAATGTATGGAGCTCTCTAGGTATTTCTACTACATTCATCACAGTGCCTTACAAAAATCTAAAAGTTATATTAATATAAGCATTTCTGCTTCTTTTCCTCCATCCTTTATTTGGGCCGGAATAGATGACAGGAGAGTAGGAAGAGACATGAGGAAGCAATGAAATTCAGCTGGAGCCAATTACAAAAAAGCCTTTTTTTTTGGTTGGTTTGTTTGTTGCTTTGCACTGAATTCTGATCCAGAATATCATAACTTTTAAAATTAATGTTTTGTTATTTTCATCACATATAGTTGCTGTTTGAGAAAATCCATGTCCAGGCATGAGTGTAATTTCTGAGAATACAGAGTTATACACACAGTACAGAATTGGCCCTGGTCACACTAGCAGATGACCTCCTGATAGCTATGAATGGGGAAAGATCTAGGAGAATTGACATGGAGAGCTGTCAGCAGCTTTGGACATATTTGTCCACAAGATACTTTTAGCACATTTGCTGGACTTAGTAGGAGCTGAAAGAGTTGTGTTAAGTTGACTCTGCTTATTCCTGGAATGTATACAATGTTGTTGTAGTTGTGTTGGTCCCAGGAAATTAGAGAGAAAGGTGGTTAAAATAATATCTTGAGAAAGACAAGCTTAAATTTAATTTCATAATTTTTCTAGACTATAAAAATCATTGTCTTAATAAAGACACTAGATTTATAGCTATTAACAATGATCTGTAACCTACTAACTCCCTTTTTTGGCCTATGACTACAGAATTGTTAATGGGCGACTTTACCATGAATGGTTCCTTAGAATATGTGCTAACTACTTATGCTAAACTATCTGTTCTATCTTGTATTTAGCTGTGACCCTCCTAGGTGCTATTCCCAGACCTGAAGAAGAGCTCTGTATTACTCAAAAGCTTCTCTCTCTCACCAACAGAAGTTGATCCAATAAAACTGGGGTTCCCAAAAAATTTTCCCTGAGACTAACCTGTGCAGCTGAAAAAGGCACTGTGATCTACTATTAACACTTCTTGAGGAAAATTATTAATTTTAATTATTACATACATATACATGATAACACTGTATATAGACAATATATGTGTTTCATTTTCATTTTAATGTAAACAGTTGTAATGATAGAAATCCCTAGCAATAGGCATTCAGAGAAATGCTTCAAGATCTTTGAAACCAAACAGTTTTAGAAAAACTATACTTTAAAAAATTGTTGAGAGCAAAATTTGGTGTTCAAACAGGGAAAACACAATGTATACATGTAAATGTATAAAACTGAACAACAAGCAACATAACAATGTTAACAAAATTGTAAAAAAAAAAAGCGCCCATTGTGTTATTTATTGATTTTAAAACAAAATAGTTATCCCACTTTGAACACTATATTGTGTTTTCATTTTTTTAATGTAAAATCTGAGTTTCTGTGCTATGCTGTAAGTAAAGACCCAACCCTACTCTCTACTAATTAGAAAAGAATCAAATGTAAATAAAAATATAATATAAAATATATTATAACACACTGAGGCAACGGGTACTCATTGATTTGGTAAAGGAGAATGCAAACTTCAAGTATGTATCATCATAGTTTCTTACCATTTTCTTTATTTTTATGGTGGATTCATTTCATGTAGGTGTAGATGGTACTGCTTGCCATTTTTTATGGTTGTAAAAGGTGGACTGTGTGTACATTCCTAGGTTATCTTGCAGTGAAATGCATCGTTGTACTCACAAGAATTAAACTTGACATAGTGCTTATTTTTTTTAATAAATAAATAATTTTCTTTCTATAATCTGTCCAACACATACAGCTCAAAACATTACTTTTATATAGCTTTTACTTAGAGTACACAAGTCACATGGAGTTAAAGATTTACTAAGAGTTTGACTGGAGAATGCAGTTGTGTTGGTGGACCACCTGGGACTACCTTTGGGCCACGGCCCACAGTTTGGGATCCCCTGCAGGAAAAGATATTACCTCACATACCTTATCTCTCTGCTTATTCCTGTTAGCTAGATCCCAGTGTGTGTTTTGATAATAGCTGTACTTGCTGCATGTCTAGATCAGTGCTGGAGCACCCACAGAAAAAAATTAGCTGGTGCTTAGCACCCACTGGCAGCCAGCTCCCTCCCCACGCCCCAGCATCTGCTGCCTGCCAGCAGCCCCATCAATCAACTCCTTCCTCTCCTTCCAGCACCTCCAGGCCACTGCAATCAGCTGTTCCACAGCATGCAGGAGGCGCTGGGAGGGAGAGGGAGGAGTGGGGATGGGGCGGGAAGATGCGGGACAGGAGTGGGGCTTTGGGGGAAGGAGTGGAGTGGGGGTGGGGCCGAGGGCTGAGCAGGGATTGAGCACCACCAGGCAAAGCCAAAAGCCTGAACCTGTGGGAAGGATCATACTATGGACTTTCTTCACATACCATACCATGATCCTTGGAAAGTCAATGCTGCTGAAGGAGGAGCAGAAAGGATGGTCATGTTTTGATAGTTACAATACATCTTTAAATCTTGTTCGAGGTACTTACATATTATAGTGATAGGCCATCTAGAAGAAGATCACATTATATAGACCCCATGTAATGGGCGGGGCCTTCCAGTCAAGTTGGGCCATCCCCGTCAGTCTAGTATGGGAGTGGCCCACTCCACCTCTCGGTCGTAGGCTTCCCCATTAAGCGGATGATTTCTACCCAGTGTGGCCCGGCCCCCAGACGGGTCACCTCAATGAGTAATCTGTGGATTCTGAGCGGCAAAACAATCAAACAGTCTGTGGAATTATCCCCCTGGGCAGGGCAAAGCAGCAAGCAGGCTGCAACCCTGGGGCAGGGCAAGGCAAGCAAATGATCAGTCTATGGCCTCACATCTCTCTGGGCTGGGGTGTAGTTTAGGCAGCTTCCTTAACGGGCGGGAGCTCAGCTTCCAGGGAGGTCTCCATAGCCAGTGAGTCACCTGGTGAGTAGTCCAGGTCCCCGGACTTTACCACCAGGGGCACTGCTGGTACCGCTGCAGGAGCCAGCAGCATAGTCTCTTCCTCTTCCACCCCCTCACCCACCAATTGGCTTCGGCTGCCTCCTTTTATCCGAGTTCTTCACTTGAAGCACATGCAGCAGGGAAGAGGAAGCGTGGCCTCCTGGGCCCACAATGATTGGTCCACCCCGACAGCCCAGTGCAAGGCTGGTGCACCCTGTGACACCCGATATACTCATTCTCTGCTTCTACTGATCCGGTAAACCCTTCACAAGCTACACAGTTGAACAATTTTGTTTTCAGAGATTCTGTTCCAATACATTAAGGTTGGATTTTAAATGCTCTAACTCCTTTTTAGTATATGTAGTCTCTGTGCAGGATTTTACATTCCCTTTGTTAGATTGTCTCAGAACAGTCTTGAACATATTCTTAATTTACTAATAGATATTTTGTAACAAAAAACTATAAACACAATAGGTAGCTGGGTGCCATATCTAGCAACACTGAACTATTCAGCTGTAACTTTGGTAACAGCTTCTGAAACAGAACAATTTCAATCCACCTTAAAAGAGGTTAATGCAAGAATGTATGTATTTTCCTTTGATGACAGCAAGAGAAACTGAATGCATAAACGTACCTATCACGTTTCAGGGTGCAATCTGGACCAGCGAGGGGTTGTGTCACCACCTGCCCTGCAACCTTGGGTGCCTCACAATGCTTTGCTGCTGTAGCTCTCAACCTGAGCTGCTCACATCAGCCTGACAGCATGCAGGTCACACCCTGAGTGTTTGTGTATAGGTGCAGGCTACCAGCTACACACCAGCTGGACTCTGGCTTCCAGCAGCCTTGGTTACCATTTGCTGTGTGACCAATCAATTAAATTCAGGTTTTAAATTCTGTGTCACAATTTATTAGAAGTCCTGAAAAGCAACTGGTTTATAGCCTGTCTTTTAACAAAGAGTTCGGTTCAAGTTCAGGAAAGAGAGTGTGATAGTAGTGAGTTGTGTTGGGTGAATCTTCTCGAACATTTTCTGCAAATATTCACTCAGATGAATGAGATGCAATTAACTATTCACACCCTTATTGGGTTCATTTTCTACAAATATTCCAGCATATCAGTTTATTGGCAGGAATATTCACTTCAGCAATGATTTTCCATTTATAATTATTATTTTTACTGGAAAACAGATTCTAAGAACTATGCTCATCCAATCAGGAAAAACACGTGTGATGTGTCCAATCAAGACAGCCAGTTTTGAATTTCCAATATCAAATACGTGGATTGAAGTGCTTGCAAATAAACTGCATACCAAGAATATTTGTAGAAATTAAATTAATTCAAATAATTAAATTAGAGATTCACAAACCAAAAATGAGGCAAAAAACTCTTCACAAATGAATTATGAATCATTTATCCAGTTCTATTCCTGATATATGACTTTCTCCAATATGCAGTGGTATTGTCACTGTGTCCGTCCCAGGATATGAAAGAGATAAGGTGGGTGAGGTAATTAAGAGAGACACTGAATTTATGGCTTATTACAACAATCTATATAACCCATTAACAATCCCTCCTTTCATTTGCTTTCCTCTTCCCCTTCCTTTCCTCCCTATGACTGGAGGGGTGTTAACGGGCCACTTCACCTTGAATGATCCCTTGAAATATGTATTAACTACTTATGCTAAACAATTTGTTCCATCTTGTATTTATCTGTGACACTGAGTAAGTTTCCCAGGCCTGAAGAAGAGCTCTGTGTAAGCGCAAAAGCTTGTCTGCCTCACCAACAGAAGTTGGTCCAATAAAAAATGATACCTCACCCACCTTGACCCAATATCTCAGTTATTAAATCAAGCTTTTAAAAAAAATCTCAACTGCCCAGCAAATGACTCAAGGTAATTCAATGGCTGGATTTCATCACTAGATCCAGAAAGCAAAGGGCAGCAAACAGGCAGATTCAATTCTGAAGATATCACAGGAGTTTGAGTTAAACTGTAACATACCATTTCACCTTGGCTGAATCTTCAGTTTATTTTTATCCAACATGACCACCAGCAACTGACAGAAGAAGTTAAGGTCCAAGAATAAGAAGTAGTGGCTGCCTGTCTGAAACAAGTTTTAGGACAACATTTGCATTGCTAAATTTTAGAACAGAAATTTTTTTGATGAAGTTTAGTGCATAACATTTCAGAGAGGTGGAAAGCCAGAACTGTCTGCTTCCTAGCCAGGGTTTGCATATTTCAAGGTTTCCATCTTCTAAGTAACTGACTCATTTAGAGTGGCAGCTATCTTTGGAAAGCCATTCTGAACATCAATAACCATCATTTGTGAAAGAAATTAATGCTGGATTTTGCTTAGTTTTGGTTCAACCCTCTTATTATTCAGGATCTAATCCTCTCAAATAGTTTTGTCATCCCCGCCTTGTCTTTATTATGGGGAAGCTGTATCCTCTCTATTGTTGCAGCTGAAACCATCTTCTGAAGTCCAATTTTTGTCCTTCTTTAACTTTGGCTTGGAAAATTGGTTTTACCTGAAAATTTCCATACTTTGAAGGAAACGGAGAATGATTAATTTTCTTCAAACACTGCATAATCAAACTGTTTTTAATTTAGAGGTCATTTAAAAATTACCCTGACTGGAAATTTACTTCTCTAATGTATCTCTGTCTACCTTTATCTCAAAAGCAGCTTGTTAATACCTCTTTCAACTTTCCATAAAGTTATATTTACTTGAAACCTCATGTACCAGCTATATTATAGGAAAAATACATAACAATTAAGAAAAAACAGTGATTTTTGTTGTGGATAGTTTTGAGCCCCATCCTTTCCTCATTTACTTCAGTGGAAACAGGATTGAATACAATATGTTTGTGAGCATGTTGCTCTTTATTAACAGTTTGCTACTGTAAAACAACATATAGATTCTTCCATAGCTTAACAGGTAAATGAGATCTTCCTTTAGCTCAAGACATCGAGGCCTGTGTCTTTGTAGCTATACAAGTTCATAAATTCCTAGATTCCAAGACAAGAAGGTACCATTGTCATCATCTAGTCCTCCTCCATAATACAGGCTAAAGAACTTCCCCAAAATAATTCCAGAGCATATTTTTTAGAAAAACATTCAATCTTGATTTAAAAATCTCCAGCAATTGAGAATCCACCAAGGCCCTGGGTAAATTGCTCCAATGATTAATTATTCTCACTTAAAATTTTATGCCTTATTTTCAATCTGAATTTGTCTAGCTTCAGTTACCAGCCATTGGATTATGCTATACCTTTCTCTGCTAGACTGAGGAGTACATTATCAAATATTTGTTCCCTGTGTAGGTACTTACAGACTGTAATCAAATCATTCATTAATCATATCTTTGTTAAACTAAACTTTGAGTCTGTCACCATAAGGGATGTTTTCTAATCCTCTTATCATTCTCATGGATCTTCTCTGAACCTTCTCCAATTTATCAACATCCTCCTTGAATTGACACCAGAACCGGACACAATATTCCAGCAGCAGTCGCAGCGGTGCCAAATACAGAGGTAAAATAACCACTCAAACTTGAGAGTCAGATTTATGCATCCAAGGACTGCATCAGCTCATTTGGCCACAGTGTCACACTGGGATCTCATGTTCAGCTGATTATCCACCACAACCACAAAATCTTTTTCAGAGTCACTGCTCCCCAGGATAGAGTCCCCCCATCCTATAAGCATGGGCTAACTTCTATGTTCCTAGATGTACACATTTACATTTAGCTGTATTAAACACTTATTGTTTGCTTGCACCCAGTTTACCAAACTATCCATATCATTCTGAATCAATTACCTGTCCTCTTTCTCATTTACCAATCCCCCAATTTTTGTGTCATTTGCAAACTATCAGTGACGATTTTATGTTTTCTTTCAGGTCGTTCATAAAAATGTTAAATAGCATAGAGCCAAGAACTGATCCCTGTGAGACCCACTAGAAACAACTATTCGATGATGATTCCCTATTTACAGTTACATTTTGAGATCTATCAGTTAACCCAGTTCTAATCCATTTAAAGTGTGCTATGTTAATTTTATAATCTTTCTAGCTTTTTAATCAAAATGTCATGCAGTACCAAGTCAAATGCTTTACAGAAGTCTAAGTCTACTACATGAACACTATTATTTTTATCAACCAAGCTTGTAATCTCATCAAAAAAGAGATCGTTAGTTTGACAGGATTTATTTTCCATAAACCCATGTTGATTGGCATTAATTATATTATCTTCCTTTAATTCTTTAGTAATTGAGTCCTGTATCAGCCACTCCATTATCTTGCCCGGGATCAATGTCAGTATGACAGGTCTTTACTTACCCAGGTCATCCTGTTTACTCCTTTTAAATGTTGGCAGAGCATTAGCTTTCTTCCACTCTTTTGGAATTTTTCCAGTGTTCCAAGTCTGATTGAAAATCACTATTAGTCCAGTGAGCTCCTCAGCCAGCTCTTTTAAAACTTTTGGATGCAAGTTACTTAGATCCGCTGATTTTAAAAATGTCTAACTTTAGTAGCTGTTATTTAAAATTCTCCCGAGATACTCTTTCCATTTGTTTGGGAAGCTTTCGTGGGTAAAAAACTCACTTCTTTAGATGCATGGAGTGAAAATTACAGATGCAGGCATTATTATACTGACACATGAAGAGAAAGGAGTTACCTTACAAGTGGAGAACCAGTGTTGACAGGGCCAATTCAATCAGGGTGGATGTGGTCCACTCCCAATAATTGATGAGGAGGTGTTAATACCAAGAGAGGGAAAGTTGCTTTTGTAGTGAGCCAGCCACACCCAGTCCCTATTCAAGCCCAAATTAATGGTGTTAAATTTGCAAATGAATTTTAGTTCTGAAGTTTCTCTTTGAAGTCTGTTTTTGAAGGTTTTTTTGTTGAAGTATTGCTACTTTTAAGTCTGTTATAGAATGTCCAGGGAGACTGAAGTGTTCTCCTACTGACTTTTGTATGTTACCATTCCTGATGTCTGATTTGTGTCCATTTATTCTTTTAC